TAATAATGTAACAGAGTGAAAAAGGTGAGGATTCGTATGTTTAAGTAAAGTTAAGGATTGATAAGAAGAGTTTAAGAATGGGTACATCAGTGATCAGTTTATAAGATAAAGGAAGTTAGAATGTTGAGTTTGAACAACGAAAATTACAGGATGTATGAGAATAGAGGTGAATTTGATAAGTTAAGTAAATTAATTTTGAAATAATTTCGATTGGAAATGATGTATATGATTGGTTGACTAGGGCTTGTGCCCTAGATTGAACAGATGTTATTGACTAGCTGTCAGAGTAAAGATGATATAGTTATAAGATTGGAAGAACGAATAAAGTTGAGTTAATCAATTATGATATGAATCTGAATATAGTTGTGTATTCTGATCAGATAATTATGATGTAGATAAGGAGAAAAGTATTGTATGAAACTTTAAGGAAGGAAAATACAAGTATAAGAGATGGTAAAGAATGAAGTTTTGTATAAGTAAACTGGGTTATCAAAGCTACGAGGAAGCAATGAAGATTGGTACACAGAGATGAGTATATATGATAGGACAAGAGTATGTGAACATGAAAGGAAAGATATGATTTGTGTATAAGGAGAATTTGATTTTGAATAAATAAAGGAATAATGGAATAAAGAAATGAAATGATAAAGTTTAAAGAATCAGATGTGATAAAGGTTATGTTTCATGGTCAAGCAGATTTAGTCAGAGAAATAAAGAATGATTTATATGTATTAAGGAAGTTTAAGAAGTAATTAAGTGATGAGGAAATAAAAGTTGGTTATTACTGCAAGGAAATTAAAGATTGATAAGGAATTTGACTGATTTATGATTTTGAGTGATAATAACTAATGCTACTGTTATATGATAAGTGACATGATAAGGATGTATAAAGGAAAAAGAAAATAGTTGAAGAACTAAAGGAAGAAAAGATTAAGTAAAGGAAACAACATAAGAACATTAGAAGAAATGTTCTTATTGTGTGTGCAGTGAAAATTCGAGGATGAATTTTCTTTAAAGGAGGGAAGATTTGTAACATCCCAAAAGTCGGGTCAATGACCAAAATAGAATTTTTGGTAATTTAGTGACTAATCTCAGAAAAGATTGAAAGTTTAGGGACTTAAATGAAAAGTGTTGATGTTGGATTTAATAACAAAGTTTGGAAATAATAAGGGTATTATGGTTATTTTTCAGGGAAGATTTTTATTTCCCTTTATAAAGGGTAATAACCACTTGGAAAAGGAGATATTTCTCTAGAGTTCTCTTCTTCTCCTTTATTCTTCTTCTTCTTCACGTGGAAGCCAAGAGCAAAGGTGAGTTCATGGTTATTTAATTTCTTGATGAATTCAAGGTTGGGTGGTGATCATTAGATGATAGAAAAGCTTAAGGAAGGCTTAAGTTAGCTTTTAAATAAAGAATGAAAGAGTTATGAGAGATTGAAGATTTGGAGTTTTTGAATGAATTTTGGAAAAGAGTTGATAAGTAGAATTTGAAGTTAAATTTGACTTGTCAATAGTTGAATTAAGAGATTTGGAGTGTTAGAATTGAATTTAGAATATGTTGAAATTTGAGTATGATTCTTGAATTTCATAAGGAGAAGAGGATATGATAAATGAATATAGATGAGGATAAACATGCATATGCGAGTTATGATTATATAAGGGGATGAAATATGAAGTTTTTAAGCTAAGTTAAAGTAATTTTCGTGCTGAAAATGTGATTTCTGGGCTAGGGGTATCGGTACCCATTCAACAGGTACCGATACCCTCTCAAACAAAAAATTACATAATGCAACCTAAAAGAAAAAAGTGAATATTGGTTTATTAAGTTTGTTTAAGTTGCTAGTATCGAATTACAAGGTGTAGGCATCTAATAATTTCCTTAAAATGTGTAATTATATAGATACAGAGCCTAAACAAGTTCCGAAACCATTGACAAGTAAGATCGATCGAGAAGAGATAAATGATCAGTATTAACTAGTGAGGCCAGGTGAGTGCAGATTCATTGGTATACGATATATATGGAAGTAAGACTCGCGATGAGTCTATTTTCAATATTTGATTTCATGATTCTATGAAGGCTAATATGGATGATATGATTATTATGTATGCATGAATATATGAATAGAGTTATAGGTGTTATATATGATTTTGTGTGCTATGGGTATAAGTAATTGTATGATGATAATGTATCAATTATATGAATTAGATTTAAGCGAATAAATGGAAAGTGAGATAAACAAAGTATGGTTGATCTATAGGATAATATAAGAATAACTCATAAGTTATATGATAAAGATGGAACATGTGATTTAAACTGCAAGTTAAAGAAAGAATATGATATCTGTAAACATAAGATAATTCAAGGGTAAACGATATGATATGAATGTGTTATATGTATTGTAGGATAAAGATATATGAAACAATATAGGAATATTAATTGAGTTACTTGATAATAAGTCATAAGGTTACATGCATAAGTAATATAAGTTATAAGATGATAATATATAAGAATATTAAATAAGTCATGAGATAAGTTATATGACATTGATATACAGACTATATGAAAGTATACACATGAATACATGTATAAGTTTATATGTTATTTTATATGCTATGGGATGTATCCATGAACATATGTGATATAATCAAGCTATGAGACATGATCTACGTGACTACATGTATATGTGATGCATGTTAAACGATATGAAATAGATGTTTACACATACATTTGGTATGTGATAGAAGAGAATGATATTTGAATATGGGAAATAATATGAAAGAGAATGTCCATGTTATGTGAAAGGAGAGCTAAAGGTATAGTTGGCATGCCAAGAGTCGAAGGTTACCTATGTTTTTCAAGACATATGGACAATGTTACCTATGTCCTTCGGGACATATGGACATGATTACCTATCTTCTAAGGAACATATGGACAATTTACCTAGGTTCTTTGGGACCTATGGACAGTTGTCGAGGTTCTTTATGACCTCTGGATAGGTTCTTCAGGACATTTATACGAGTGTGGTGACAGCGTAGTGCATAACCTCAGTAGACTCTCATATATATAGTTCTCAAATGTTCACATGGGCTAATAAAGAGATAATCCTGAATATAATGTAAGTACTATATATGATTTGTGATATGAATTATAGGAATTGTTATATGTGTGTGTTATGAGTGATTGCATCTGTGATAAGTATGAATTATAAGATATATGATAAAAGCGTAAGAGATTATACGAACAAGATATAAGAAATATGAATGATAATAGGGTAGGAATATGATAGAAACATAAATGATGACATGTATGTATGTATGTACTTACTGGATGAAAAGTATATGAGTTGCATGGTTATGATAGCATAAATTATTCATGCATGGTTAGTGTATGTAAATTATATTAGATGAGTTTTTATGCCTCACTAAGTCATAAACTTAGCGTGTGATTGTTTCACACGTAGGTTTCGAAGAGCGAGAAGAAAAGCTAAGTGGAGCAAGACAGGTCAGCATCTCCCTTACAAAGTTCAGATCATAAAAGAGATGTTTTAGATGTATTTTGTTATTTTGAACATAGTTGGCATGTACTAATAGATTGAGTTGAATATGCTTTGATATGTTTTGTAAACGAATTGATTAATTAATATAAAATATTCATTTTCCTGAAATGTGAATTTAAATTTTTGTTCGTTTGTAAAGGAAAATGCTTTGAAAGGTCAATGTGACACCTCAGACTTTGATCCGGGTCGGATACGGGTTGGGGGTGTTACAAGACCACTCTTTAATTTTTCCATAATGAAATGTCTATCAAATTTAATATGTTTTATTTGATCATGTTGAATAAGATTTTGGGGAATACTGATAGATAATTTATTATCACAGTAAAGCCTCATGAGTTCTTCTCACTTTATTCTTAAATCATCTAGGTTTATATGCAACAAGTGAGAAAATAGTGTAATGCCTTTTAAATCTTATCATTTGACTTGGAGTTAATATATTAGGGACATTATAAAAATACTAATAAAATACATTAAATATTAAAGCACCACTTATATCTATATAACACTATTTAAAATAATCTATATTCGTATATGCTTCAAGTGTAATACCTTTTAAATCTTATCATTTGACTTGGAGTTTTTTTTGAGTGAGTATGAGTAATTGAATTACCTTCTTGAAAACAATTTCTAGTGAGAAAATATATAGTATGAATAAAAAATTATATGTGTGTTGATCAAGAAGTTGGTGTCTTCTTCTTGGAATAAACCTACAATTGAATATTACTTTGATTTTTCTTATCTTTCATCATAACTGATCTATTTGATGGAGTAACAAGTTCATTAAGGACAAACTCAATAACTGACTGAGGAATGGACATCGAAATAGACTTCAGATTAAGTGTTAACCGTAAACATGTAATTTAGAAAATAATTAAGATGCACGAACCAAGTTACCCAATGGTTAAAGGATGATTGTTATCCCTAGAGGTCCTAGATTCGAGCACCAGAGAGACTGTAAAGGTGATTGAGCTTTCATTGTCAAATGATTAAGAATCTTTAAAACAAATACTACCTTGTAATCACTATAGATTATTAAAAAAAGATCAAGCAGAGATGTATTCATATTGTTATTAAATCAGTAGGGTTTGTCGACACGTTAGATGGGTAAAAAAAATGATCAGGAACCCTACCTATGTTGATAATGATACCATGGTATAATCTAAGGAAATAAATTGAAGAGAGAAAGAATAAAAGAGGTAATGAAAGAGAAGTTGAATATTGAATTTGGGAGCTTACATTAGTTGAAATAAACTAAGTTGTCGACTTCTAAAAATAAATTCTATTTATAAATAAAGATTACAAAAGACTTCTAAGATTTTGTCTTTTCTTATCATATAAGACTCCTAAATAAACAAGATTTCTACATGATTGATTCTAACATAATGGGACCAATTATCATTAGACAATATAGAATATGTCAAATTAAATTGAAGTGAAAATTTACCTTGAGTTGCGAATCAGGAATCAGTAATTGATGATGTTCTTTAACCATGTTGTAGCGTTCAATAACAGATTTCATGCTGTATTAAAACATAACAGTCGGACATCAATGTATGTTCGTATATAATAAGGTGGCATCGATGTTAGAACATATGTGTAGAGATGTATGTATCCTAATTCTGAGCCAACCACTTTGCCCATATCATTACATGTCAGTCACTAGATTAGATGAAATGAAATCCAAGCTCTAGTGCATTTAAATCCACAACCATGAATTTGTTCCTTTTGGTGAAACTATAGCTTCATAGATTTTTTTTGAAAGAAAAACTGTCTCGTTAAAAATTTCCTTCATATATCAAAGTTCAGTGGTATCTCATCCAACAAGTTATTGTTGTTTATAAATTTGAGTTCAAAAACATAAACTTTTTCTACAAGCACTTTATGTTGAATGGATGTAAAATCGTATATCATTTTTGCAATCACTTACACTTCTTGAACTGAAGTTGCACAAAAGAAATTGTTAGAATTCTTGCCTAAAAGAGTTTAGCAAAGTCTAAGTGATTGTAGAAGGGCCATTTGCAGAATTTGACCAAAAAGGTGAAGGTTGAGTGATAATACTCCAAAAATAATGAGCAATGATTTTGACTTTAAGCAAAAAAATGCATTGTATAAGGACTATTTTCAGAATTTGACCAAAGAATCTAAAGGTTGAGTAACAATCATAAACTATGATGTAAGTGGTTTCTCAAATTTAGGGATTTGGTTTTTTAAGGCGGCATATAGTGAATAAGAAAATTCTCCCATAACAAGTTATTGTATAATAAAAAGAGGTAAATTACATTCCAGGTCACTTAATCATTATATTGGTTATAAATAGGTCATTATTTTTTCTAAAAATTCTAATTTAATCACTCAATTAAATATTATTACAAATATTTCACTAGTCGTTAAAATTGAAACATAATAGTTAAGTGACCTATAATAATAGTTTTAGTCATCAAAATTTACACATTTTATTAATTTGAACATTTCAAAATAATTCAATAAATTTACCATTTTGTATTTAAAAATTCTATCAAAATAGTCTCTGTTCTTATCCCATATTGCTTGTTATTCATCATTTACTTGGGTACCCTCATTAACACGAGTTATACCAAACTTTATATTTTTAATTAATCATACACATTTATATTTTTTATTTATATTTATAACTCTTTGTTTTGAGTAATATATCTGTTATCATTTCATTCGGATGTAGCAGCTCATATTATAAAATATAATTAAAAATGTCAAAAAAATAGTTATATATATGAATCTTAAAAATTATATAATAAATGAAAAAAATTATAATTATAAAAGCAAATTTATACGTTATTCAGTTTTATAATAGCGGCGATATTTTTTAAAATTATTTAAATGAATTAGAGCCTCACATAAAATAAACAACATTTATAAAACGTGTATTAACATCAATAATTAATAAAGCATAAATCATCTTTAAAATAAAAAAATGAAAAATAAAGCATAAATCTAGCAAATCATATACAGGCATGAATTATAAGAGTGAAAAAAATCTACGTTGACTAATTTAACAAAATATTAGAATTAATTACATAATAATTAACTAAAAAACATTTATATTTATAAATTTGTGTATTAGATTAGTTAATTATTTCAAATGAAGTATTCTAGCTCTAATGAGGGTACTCAAGTAGGAATGATGATGAATGATGACGAACAAATAATTTGGGAGAAGAAAAGTATATTATATTGATAGATTTTTTAAATAAGAACGATTAAGATTATTGAATTATGATCAAATTAATAGAATGTACAAAATTTGAGGACTAAAATTATTATCATACAAGGCTACTATGGATTTTATTGACGAAGTGATCTATTACAACAATATTATAATTGAAGAACTAAATTATATTTTTTTTTTAAAATATGACTTGTTTATAATTGATCTAATAATTGAGTGACCTAAAGCAAGGATGGACCGAAGGGGGCAGGTGCCCCCAGGATATTTCGAATTTGTATATATTTTAAATATTTTCTTTGTATTTTCAATTGATAATATATTTTCACCCCCTAGAATTTTATAAATCCGCCCCTCCTAAAATTTTAGAAGTTCGCCCCCTAACATAAAATCATGCGTCCGTACTTGACCTGAAGTATAGTTCACTCTAAAAAAAAGTTAAAATGTAATTCTAAACGAATTTAGTATCATAAGTAAGATGATACTAACTTAATAAAAAATTACACAAAAACTAAAATATAAATTATTTTATAATAATATGTGTGTGTGTTTTAGTTAAAAGTTAAAATGAAATCATTTTAATTAATAACTTCCAAATAATTTATTTTTCAATCTTTCATTGTCACACTTAAATATGTATTAAACATAAATGTCACATGGAAATAAAAAGTTACTACACTTATGTAAGGCACACCCCACTTGTTCAAAGGATGGAAATAAGCATGCATCAATTGATCAAACTCTTTCATCAAGAATATATGAAATGAAGTATAAAGAGAAGATTAACAGCTTAATCAACCAATCAGATATATTTACTCAGCAAGATATAAATATACATCGCTAATTATATACAAATATACTCCGAGCCCATTTTCATTATGCATCATACATTAAAATATATATATATATATATATAAGAAGATCCATCCCAATCTTCGTTCCTACTATATGACATTAATATATGTATAATTATATTCATTTGCAACTGTTTTAATTAAGGAAGAAAGGGAGATCAGCTAGCATAGTGAACCAAGATCATCACAATGATGAGTCTTACCAAAGAGCAATGAGAGCCTCAGTTAGTTTAAAGAGGATATCATAATGTTAAATTACGGTCCCAGCGTTGTATAACAATTGTATCATACTGTTTTTCGAGACCATCAGTTATTTTTAGAAAACAAACTCGTAACGGTAGCAATATAGAACTTGCACTTTGCATGCGATGATTGGAAAAAGAAAAGGGAAGAGAAAATGGATCTGACTGACCTGGAGCTGGCATAATCGTAGAGCTTGCCGATGCTGGAGAAGATGATCAATCCGACATCGGCGTCGCAGAGTATTGATAATTCCCTTGCTTTCTTCAACAGCCCACTCCTTCTCTTTGAGAAAGTCACTTGCCTGCTCGTCGAATTATCTATTCGTCTGATCACTATCTTCCCTCTTCCCATCCTCTCTCTCTAAAATCAAAATAATTAGGGTTTTGCCCACAAACAGGAATGAGTAAAACCAAAAGGATTTATACAAGAAAAACAAAGCTTACTTGAGAAGAGTCAAACAGGGAAGACGCTAATCTCCGCTTTCTCCACCAAATTAATATATTCCAAACAAACCTGAAACCGCTTTTCTAATATGAACAATCAAAAACATGGAGCTCGAAACCACTTACCGGTTTTCTTTAACTCTACTCGCCAGAGTGGCTAAAGATCACGCTACTCGCTCATTTTAAGCTGACACCTGTTGGCTGAGTCGAACAAGTACTCCCTGGCAAGAGAATCCTCGAGGAGAGATTCCATGTACTAAGCTGTCGGTAGGAAAAGGCGAGTATAAAAATACTGTATTCGAGAGATCCTAGGATTTTCATACCCGTTCCCAGGATTCGTGGGTGGGAGAGCGTGGGAGTGGAAAGAAAGCGTGACGTATAGTATTACGACACGTTGGCTTATCAAAAACGAGGCCGTACACTTATTTTATTTTCTCGGCTCTTTGGTTTTTTCTGATTCGCTGAAGAGATAATTGCCCCCACACTTTGTATTTCTGACACGTGTACCGATTTAATTGGTGACTCTAGGGTGCTTGCTTATTTATTTAGTATATTTAGTTATTTTTTTCATCGTTAAATTGGTAGGTTGGGTAGGTAAACCAAAATTATTACAGAATCTTATCTTAATAATACTTAATTATTTTTTACAGAGATATTTTAAAGTAAATTTCAGGTTGATAAACTTGACTTTTATGATATATTCCATGCTTATTGCTTTCCGGTGCAAAATTGATGAAGTGTTCAATGTCAAATCTACTTCATGTGGATAAAGAACCAATGGAAGAGGTTTATAATCTATGAAACCTTACACATACATATAGCAGCGCAATTTATATTTTTATTAAAAAGCATAATGTAAAAATAAATGTTTAAATTATATCTTAAGTTAATTTTAGGTGTGTAAAGAAATTTTCGTTAAAAATAGGTGTTTCATGTTTCTTTTTTATACTTTTAAGTGTATAACGTTTTTTCGTTACATTTTTAGGTGTCTACACAATAATGGTCGTTAAACAAGATTGTTAAGTGACACATGTCATATTTATATTTTGGCTTAATACAAAAATAAGTGTCCATATTATACCATAAGTTAACTTTAGGTTCTTAAAGAATTTGTCGTTAAAAATAGGAGCCTAGCATTTTCGACGTTATACATTTATGTGTCTACACAATAATGATCATTAAAAGAATCATTAAGTGACCCGTGTCATGTTTATATATATTTTTAAAAAAACTTAATAATATTATTAATTAAAAAAACAAAATAAACCATGCAACTCTATTTTTTTTTACTTCAACTCGATTATCAACTGTCATCGGTCATCATTGATCACCTTCGTCATTGTCGAACGATCACTCACCCGTCGTCGGACCTTCATTGTTGATCATCCCTCTTATTGTTGTCACAATCACCTTAAATATATAAATCTAAACTCAAATCCCTAAACCTAATGCCTAAATCCCTAACCCTAATCCCAAATTTATCATTCTCACCCTAAGTTAACTTTAAGGATTTATGGGGACTAGTGTTGTCACACTAGTATCTATGTGAGTAGACCATCGATCACATTAAGATACTAGTGTCGCCCGTAAGACTAAGTTGAAGTATCACTAGCCGTAACGGGACAATCTTTCACAAAGTGCTCCAAAGACCCACATCCGTAACAAGTCCTAAAGAGACTAAAACACATCCTCTAATTCCCTTTGCCATAATGCTCACACTCTGGATAAGTAAAGACTATATATGAACCTCTAGTGCTCATCACATACGGTGAAACAGGTGATCTCTTACAAGAGCCTACATTCGACCGCTGACTAGAGCTCTACGACTAGGTCAATGTCACTCTCCTCTAGCCATGAGAATCTTTGACCCTCTTGGTTATCGATTGAAACAAACTCACTAATATCGAGATCTTCCTACTCTAAGTGTCAATATCATCCAACAAACTCATCCTTATACTCAACACCCTCTCTATGACTTTGGTATGTCGTGTCAACTCAACGAATACCTTAGGCGGGTCTGCCGCTAACTAGGCATGAATGTGAATTTTTAGTCCTGCACGAAATCTCATCCACCTCAGTTCCTCTATTGTAACCAGCTCTGGGGAATAACGACTCAACCTCTACAAAATCTCGCCCATACTCATACATTGTGCAATCTCTCTAAACCAGTTAAGAGAACTACATCCTAAATTCATCTATATGGGTCTCGCCGATATACTTACCTCTGAAATCACTCAGAAATTGATCCCACGTCAACTCCTTAGGTTGTATAACCATCTCTATAGTCTCCCAATAGTCAATGACATCACCCTTCTATAGCCAATCGAGCCAAAATTACATCCATTAGGCCTACATTCTGTCCAATGATTCTAATTATTCACTCACCATACTTTATATACCTCTCGAGTCAACCCTCATACGTTGACTCAGAAATCTGAGACGTTACGCTAACGGGACCAAAATGTAATAAACAATAATATAATTAACTAAAATTCAATAAATTGATAACATAAGTGATTGAAAATGACTTTTTTGAATAAAGTAAAAGTGTACAAATATAATCCGATAATTAACCCTTTTTTGAAGGTTTAATTTATGCTCTAATTCCCTTAATATAGATTATATAAATATTTAAGTGATGAGTACAAAGTTCACATATAGAAAGAAAAAGGGATGGAGTTGAGTTAACGCAAGCAAGTTGGTCAGCAAGTGGCACATCGAACATTACATGGAAGTCCAAAAATGTCAACAAATTTATGTTTTCTTCTTTTTGACTTCAATAAGGTTTCCCTCTTTAGGCAAAACCAGGATTATTTGGTTGGAAGTCGCAACTATCAATCATCAAATCTCCCGTCTGATTTCCCCAAAAAATTTATTTTTTATATTTTCATTTCACCACCCAATATATATATATATATATATATATATATATATATAAGAAAATCCCCACTTGTATTTGTTTTTAAAATTGAATAGAAATGTTTAGATTAATTACTGAATATGCCTACTATTGCATTACAAGTTTATTACGTACGTTATATGCTTATTTGGGTTAATTTACCTTATATAGTGGTTTTAATTGGTTGAGACCATAGATAACGTTAGGGGTGTAAATAAATTGAACTTAAATGAATAAAGTTATGTTCGTGTTCGTTTTTTTAAAGATGTTCATGTTTAGTTTGTGTTAGTTTAAATTTTTAATATTGTGTTCATGTTTATTTATTTATTTTTGAAGGTGTTCATGTTCGTTTATTTATCATTCACAAACATGTTTTTTAATGTTAGCGAACGAATTTGTTTATATGTTCATTTAGTGTTCTAGTTTAGCATTCATTTATATGTTCAATTTTTAGTTTTACTCTTTCATCTACAATCTAAAGAAAATGATAAAATTACACCATTAGTGCTTAAACTTCTTAAAATTCACAGTTTAAATTTCAACTTTTATAATGTGTTTAATTTAGTAAGACTTTTACCCATATTTAATATGAAAAAAAAGAATATAGTAAACAAGTTTGTTCATGAACATAAATGATTTAGTCAATAAACGAACTCATAAATGAGCTTGTTCGTGGACATAAACGAACTGAACACACCTTAGTTCGTATTCGTTCGTTTATAAAATGAACATAATTTTTTTTCATACTCATTTATTTAACATAACAAACGAACGCTATACGAACGGTTCACCGAACATTCTATTTATTGACACCCTAAATAACGTGGTAAGGAAAGTTCATGTAATAATTTATCTATCTATTATGTCATCATTCACATTTAGATCGTCATATCAATACTATTATAACCACATCTATAAAATAAATGTTAAAGTTAGTTTTCATTGGTCAAATAACTTAATTAATATATGTAGATGCTCGATTTGTCCGGGGCGTTATTTAATTTTAATGGGGTTTTACTATTATCATTATTAGGGTTATTAGCATAAGGGCCTACACCAGAGTTACAACTAAAACGGGCCAGACCAAACAGGCCCAAGTATAAGAGAACCCTAAAACCCGTTAGGGTTTCCAGCTTTTGGTTCCAGCCGCCGCTCACCCTGGACTGTTGGATCTGCTCCTAATCCAACGGTCCAGATTAAAGGACCATTAGGGTTTTTGCCCTATGCCCAGCGCCGCCTTCCACGTCCAGAATGAGCCTCTGTCGACCGTTCGTCTCCACCAGTCAGCTTCCACCGACTGCGCAGACTCACAGAGTCCTCCCTGAAGCCCGTGACCAGCTCGCACTCGTGACCAGCTCGCACCCGTGACCTGCAAGCACACCAAACAAGAGACAGAGCACAAAGACAAAAACAAAACAAAAACGCAAGAAAAGAGGGTTTTTTAGGAACGGTGATCATAAAAAGGAGGGGGGAACAGTCTCTCTCGGTCATCGGCAACAGGAGAGAACAGAGAAAATAGAAAGAGAACGGGAATCAACAACAACAAAAAACACACAGAGAGAACACCAAAAGCAGTAACCATAATCATCTTTGAGATCCATCAGCAACCCAAAAAAATCCATAGACCCAAAAACGAAACAACCAAAGAGAGAAGTGAAAACTTTTACCTTCCTGGAGCCATCACTGTCGCTTGAAAGACCTAACCCGTTGAGTAACCAGGGGTAAGCCGTCATTTCCTCTTCTGTTCTGTTTCTTTGGTTTCACCCGGGTTTGGGCGAGGAAGGAGGGATTTGATTCAGAGAAAGCTAGGTCTAAGGTCTGTAGGAAGGAGAGGTTGGTTTTGTAAGAGTATTAGAGGGTAAAGCCGGCTGAGAGGTTCTGTTAGGGGTTTTCGGGAAGTCTAGTGTTAGTCTCGTGATGGGGTTGAAGTTTTCTGGTAGGGGTTTGTCTCGGTCTTAGACGGCGGCCGTGGAGATCTTTGAGTTTTCTGGCGATGGAGGCTTTGGTTTTCGGGGTTGCAGAGGGAGTTTGAAGTTTTCTGGTAGGGGTTGTCTAGTTTAGGCTTGTTTTGGGTTGACCAGTTGGTCTAGGTGGTCGTCGGGGTAGTGGTGGCCACCGAGGACTGGTGGCCAGCCGGTGGCGTTGAGTGGTGAGGGC